AACATCTAACATAAATATGTATGTCTATTGTTGAAAACTGCTTGTACCAAACAGAATAGGGCTCACCCTCGTGTGCTGCTAAAAGCAGCAAGATATCTCATTTTTTATGATGTCACCTTCATCGCAGCGGCAATATAAATTTTAATTCAGTTTTCCATTTTAAAATAGTGCATACAGCAGCAACTGTTGAGCCCCTTCTGAGTTGTATTGTCTCTGTTTCTCATCCAATCAAGAAACCATGTTTTGCTTATGGAAGAAAAAGTTTTAAATATCAAGATGGTTTTTGTATTTCCAAAAATACTTTAAATTAAATCCACATTTCTTGGATTGAGCATTCATTCACTACTGATATTTCATTTCAAAATTGAAATGTCTTTCTTTCTTTGTTTGCTTGTTTGATGTTTTACTCAATTTATAGGCCACTTGACTCCAAAGGTCTCTCGGCAGCTTACATTTTAACAAGTAGAGAACAATGAAATAAAAAAAGGAAAAGATCAGGCATGTACAGAAGAAAAAAATAAAATGTACAACAGAAAATTATCAGGATCAACCACCAACACCAGGCTTTTTGGAACATCATCAGGGTGGGAGCCATATGGATGTCACTGGGATGCTGTTCTAGAGGGCAATTGCTGCAACAGAGAAGGAATGCTTCCTAGGACCTATTAGATGGCATTGTTTAATTTAAGGGATTTGGAATATGCCAACTCTGCTCAATCCTAATGAATGAGTACAAAGTATTGGGAATAGGCAGACTCTCATATAACCAAGCCCTATGTCATAAAGGCCTGTATAGATAACAGCCAGCATCTTGAATTGCACCTGGAAACCAAGCTGTAGCATTTTCAAGTGGTATTCAAGGGCAGCCCTATGTGGAGTCAGTCAGTCAGCTTATTACAGTCTTAGAACAATACAAGCCCTATGTAAGGAATATTGCATTAACTATAGTCTGTTTGTGATATGACTGTAACATGAATGACAGTCTGAAGGGCCTCCAAATCTAAAATTGGGTGCAACTAGGTGAATCTGTGCAATGGTTTTTTTGGCTACAGCTCCCACCTGTTCTTTGAGTCCAGTGTGATTCCCAGATTGTGCATCAATCTTGAATGGGGAAGTACAACCCCAACCAAGGCAAAAGATGAAAAATCCCCAGATCCAGGTATCCCAAATAACCACAACTGCTTGGTCTTGTAAGGAATAAGACTGGGTTTACAGTCATCTCCCACTGTCCACGGGTAAGTGGTCATGTGAACAAAATTTGGGCTGACTTGGGCCTATCTGCATTTAAAAAGTGCCTTTGGGTTGCTGGCCTACTTACTGCTGCCAGGAGCTTTGCAGCTCAGCCCTGCCTACTACCCCGCCCACTGCAATGCACTCGATTATGGTACTGTCCGTAGCCTTTTTTCTGCATCTCCCTCTTTTGCATCAGGGCAGCCAGGATGTGTCTTGAATCCTGCCTAGGGCCTCCATTCATGCCTATAGGGGGAATTTAAGATGAGGCAGATAAGGCACTCCCTTACCTTACTGAGGCTCAGAGCTCAGGGTGGATCCTCATCTAACTACTGGTGGGATTTGGTTAACAACACCAATGGGAACCGCCAGGATTGCTGTTACTAAGCAATGCAGTCATATGATATCATTTACAACTGCATTGCTTAATGACAGAAATTGTGGTCCCAATTGCCATTGTTAACCAAGGATGACCTGTAATCTGCTCTCTCCGAGATCCTCTTCAACCATTGGTTGTACTACCTTTAAAACGATCTTCCCTAGAAATGCACCAAAGCAGAAAGAACATTCACTGCATATTTCAGCTTATCCCATTTTAATTTTGATATATTTCCCATTTTATCTGATGAAAGGTTTTGGAAAATTTGAACACCTATACGCTGTTTTGTCATCTGGGGTTGCTTTAAATAAGATCTTGGCTTCAAAGGAATTTGGATGATTAATTATATTGACACGACATTCTTAAAAATACTGTAACCAGCATCATTTTAAGCATTAATGCTGTCGGTTGTGTGGGAAGTCAGCCCCCCACCCAGAGAAAGAAATATTTTGGGGAATATTAAAAAGGCAGAATATTATATTTCCTCAAAGGATCTTAAAGGCAGAAAAGCAGGCCCAGTTTTTCTTAATAGCCCCAGGCAGAAACTAGGCAGAAACTAGGTCTTTAGAAATGTAGATTTGATAATCCTTTCAGAAAGATTGGAGCCAGGAAACTTAGAGTTTATGGGATTAGAAAGACAAAGATCCTAGAACCAACAATCCCTCACCCAAAAAATCCAATACAGGACATAGCCATTAGCCACAGCCCCAGGGAAGCAAGACATGACTTTAGGACATAATAGGATTAACCCACCACCATCAGAATACTAAAAGGGCACACTGAACTTCAGGTCAAAGTTCATGCCACAGGAACAACTTCAAACACAAAAGCCCAAGAAGATATAAAAACCCACCACTCCCAGTAACACGTGGTCAGCTGCTCCAGAGCCACATGTCTTGTGGTTCTGCTCTTCAATAAACTACAACCTTCTTTCTAAAGCAGTCTTCATTTTGTTTATTCCTGGCTTGGACTGGACCCTGATGAAGATTTTTCTTTCAACAGTTGCATATCTGCTCAAACAATATGTTGGACAATATTTCTGATCGTCCACCCTTTTTTATCCAGAATCAAGTAAGTAAATACAGATCTACTATGTTTGTATAACAGATCAAAACATTTTGTAATAAATGGAAGGATCTTTAGTTTGCTATGTTGAAAAGTAACTCTGAAAGTAATATTAAGCAGATTAAAGCGTTTTATAAAATCCAGCAGTCTCACTGGTTCTCTACCACTAATCAGGAGAGGGCAGTATTGACCACTGAATGGAACCATTGCTACCACTTCTATCTGTTCTTCAGAAAACTGCCAGTTCACATACCATAAGTAATAAGTAACGGGTCTTAACAATATAAAATTAAATGCATAAAAAATAAATATCTTACAAGAATTGTTGCTGTTAAACAGTCATAGTCATCTACTGTCATATTATCTACTTCATATGATCTCCCCAATTAACAATTACCAGACTGATTCTATGGAGAACTAGACATACTGAGTATAATCAGGCTATAATTAATAATAAGATCGAAAATTGATGTCATCATTGGTAAATCATAGTATGTGTCCAGTTTTGGAACTTTCTTTTATATATTATATAAAACTTCTCCGCTTCCAGCAAGTGAATTATAAATTAAAATGAATGTTTAATGTTATATTCTGAGCTGATGGAACTCAGCCAGAATATATTGCTGATATTCTTGCTGTAGAACAGTGGTTCTCAACCTGTGGGTCGGGACCCCATTTGGGGTCGAATGACCATTTCACGGGGGTCGCCAAACCATGCTGTCCGCCATTTTTTTCCCTTTTCCCTAGCTGTCCTACTCCCTCTTATTGGTGGCCACACCCACTTGGGGGTCACCACAACATGGGGAACTGTATTATGGGGTCACGGCATTAGAAAGGTTGAGAATCACTGCTGTAGAAAGAAATGAGGAAAAGTTGTATGGGCATTTCTATCATTTTTAACAATATTTTTAAAAGTGAAAGGTATACACTGATCAGCTGAAAACTGCAGCTATTAATAACTAAATTTGAAAAAATAAAGTATACAGATCTATAGATACAGTATATGATACCAAACAAAAAGTAAAATAAAAACTTGCTGCTGTTAGGTGCTATTCAATGAACTGCTAACTTGGTTTCATAAACTAGATTTTCACAAACACATCTATAAGATGAATGCTTTGCCTCTAAAGTTATTAATGGAAAATACATTTTGTATTTTGTATTTGTAAATTTACATAATTGCAAAGAGTGTAGGAGTTGCAATTGCGAATCTTGATGTCACAAATATTGGCCAATATAGCTTTAAACCACAGTTGTATTACTTGTGAATATGTACATGCAATTTCATTTACTTCATATTTTCCAGTGAAAAATATTGTGTCCTCAATATTTCATAAGTACTCAGTAAATATGAATGAAGAACTTTGGAATCTCTTAAATGAATTAGTAAACATTGAACAAGGAACACTCAGTTCTGAAAATCTCATTCAAATCTAAGGGTTTAGTATCCTATGATTTTATTGGATTTTTTTTCATTATTTTTCCAGAATATATGTTATAAAACATGATGTTTTAATGAAGTTTAGTCACGTCTGAATTTCTAAACTCTCTTTTTCTTCAGCAAAGGCATATTTTATGCTCTTTTAAGTTATCTTTGTAAAGGTATTCACAATTTGGGAAGATATCTTTGAAATATAAGAATTAGTTTGTGAGAAGAATGAAACTGATATCCTAATGCCAATGCCATCATTCCAAGAATAACAGCAGCATTGATAAACCTAGATGGAAAATTCACATAGACTTAACAGTGAAAAAACGGCAGGCAGAACTGAACAATTTGAAAAAAAAACTAAAATGAGGAGAATTGAAAATAAACAACTGAAGCTGGACTTTAAAAAGTGATATAATATTGGAATCACAATTATAGTTGAAGTCCCAGGCTTAAAACAGATATACTGTCAAGAAGATCAAGAAAACCAATGCTTATATAAGCAGTACAGGTAGCCCTTGACTTATGACCACAACTGAACCCAAAATTTTTAATTGAGTTTTTCACCATTTTATGACCTTTCTTGCCACAATTGTTAAATGAATCACTGCAGTTGTTAAGTTAGTAACACGGTTGTTAAGTGAATCTGACTTCTCCATTGATTTTGCTTGTCAGAAGGTTGCAAAAGGTGATCACATGACCCCAGGACACTAACCATCATAAGTATGAGTCAATTCCCCATGTCTGAATTTTGATCATGTGACCATGGAGATGCTGCAATAGTCATAAGTCACTTTTTCATGCCATTGTAACTTCAAACAGTCACGAATTGTTGTAAGTTGAGGACTACCTGTACAATCAACATTTACAGTTTAGAAAAAATCAGTATCGATTCTTCAGGATTATTGGCTCCAAGCACCATTAAAGTTAAAAAAATATATAAAACCTGACAATGAAGAAATTTTGCAGTTCTGCAGAGAAAGTCAGATCACCCTACAAAATAAAATAAGATGACTCAATGAATTTAAAATACACAAAATGAATTGAAAGGGAAAATGATGGAAAATTTAACTGTAACATTAGTAAAGATTCCGAAATAGTCAAAGAAAATCAAGAATTGAGGTATACCTTGGACTGAGAAGTTACATGGATTTTGGTTTAAATATCTAACCAGCCTACGTGTGTGGTTCGCTGATTGGTCATGTTGCACTAAAGTATAAAACAAACAAAGTTTAGATGACAACTGGAAGAACTTTGTAATGATGAAAGATACAGATACATGTCTTAAAACTACAGAACAATAATTTGAGTGTCTCTCATGCTTGAAAGTCTTAATGAAATAATAGCAAATTCAATGGTATGTTTCTCTCAAGGACAATTTTCTCTATCTAGTTGTGAAAACTGCAAAAATTTCACAAGATATGTATTGACAAAGCAATCCTAAACAATTAATTTTTCTAAAAAAGTGACTTATGTATGGCTTGGTAAAGTACTAGATTTCCTTTTACATGGATTGATCATGAAAAAGTCAGAAATTACAATATATCCAAAGTTTTATAAAAACAATAAAGCATGAAAGACAAAGCTAATGATGATGAATTAGATGAAGTCAAAATAAAAAGAATCTTTTAAAACAATAAAAGGTAATTTATTATCACTTTTATTATTTAAGTTTTGCTGCTCAGGAATAAGGACTATGCACAAATACTAATAAAAATGGAAAGACCAGTTTGAATAATAAATGGTACATGATAAGGAGAAAACAATTAACCATATAATAATTGTATGCAGCAAAATCACACAAACTATAAAAATTGCATTATCAACTTGGGAAAATATTACACTGGCATTTATGTAAAAATTCCCAGTCAGCTAGAATGACTGGATACATGAAATCCCAAATTATTGAGTTATTGAAAATGACAGAACAAAAAAAATATATGAGATTTTTAAAACCCAATTAATTGACACCTAGAGCATAACACTGCCATTAAAAACTAGCATGTTTGGTATATTGATATAGCCATCCTAGAAACAGTAATGTTGTAGACAAGAAATTGGAAAAGATTACAAAATATCAAGGTTTGCAAATAAGATTGCAAACAAGTGGGAGAGGACAGTGGCACCAACAGGTATTGAGACAATTGGTGCAATCCTTTGAGAATTTAGTAAAAAACAAAATTGCCTAAATTTGGAACACCTTACAATCTAACCACAAATGACAGTAATGTTGGGCACCTAACATGCAACATAAATGGCTACTTTTATGATTTCCAAGTCTTTGGAAAGGGTTTAAATCATGAAGAAGGAAGCTAGCCAATATACAATATAACACACAAGTAGTGGATTTGGAATAATACCAGTAACACCACAATATATTTTCTTTTCCTGCATGCTGATTAATTCCTGCCCAATCTATAAAACATCTTGAACCACAGAATATAATTATTTTTCCCTTACAGCTCAGATTCCTGCTTCCCTTATGCTCAAGATAATATTACTAAATTTCTTAGACTTACAAGAAATGCTTTTAAATGGAGTGTCACTGGGTTGGGATGTACCTCTTCTCTAGAAGAGTGCCGTTCCAGCATTATCCTAAAAGACTATTATTCCAGAAAACCTGAGGGCAAAAGGAGCCTGCCTAGATTCACTGTGAACATAGCTCTGCAAAACACTTGCACAAAACCAGAGCAAACCTGACACTCTAGCTATCTGTCAAAGCCCACCACCTCCCCAGTACTTCCTCATGTTAAGGACAGTTATTAGTGGTTATATTCTGGCAGCTGGTTGGTGGGAAAGCAGATTAGGTCAGGGGAAGACTACCAATCATCTTCCTTAACTTGTTCCATATTAAAACCACAAGAACTGCAACATTTCCTTGATACTTTACTATTAGACTTCTCCATACCACTATATTTGCATTGTCCCATCTTCTCTATATAATAATCTTAGTCCAAGGCAGAGAGGAATATTTAAAGCATAGGAGAGGGAGAAAAAGACTACTTGAGGTGTTTTTAGAAGATTTAAAATTTTTCCTGATGAAATCCTCTGTTTTCAAAACTTCGTTAGGGAAACTGCATATGTTACACTTTGTATTATTGAAAGTTTCATTTTATTTTTGATCCAAATTCTCTCTGGCAGGATCTCTTTAACCAGGACTTCTCTCTGTATGGAGGACCTTTTCTTTCATCCTTCTCAATTCCTCTGGCACAGCCTTTCCTACTTGGGAGTATTCTGGAGTCTGTCTGTGTATAAATAATATTCTGTATGCCTCAATAAACAAAGATAGATACTTCCTGCCAGCCACTAAGCAAAGTGTCTTCTTTGGTTCTGCTCCTTGAATTTGCAAGCAGCCAACTTAAGTGAAAAAAAAAATCTTCCAAAAAGTCCCAAAAGTGCTTTTCAAAAGGCAACTGGAGTTTCTTGGTTTCTTTTTCCTTGAAAATGTTTCTCTTCTCATCTTGAACCATGATCTGGATGGTTGAGATTCTCCACAGACATTCTTCCAGAGTTCGTAGTTTTGAAATGTACAATTACAGATTGACAGATATCTCCTTTTTAATTAAACTCATTCCTTGAGATCCAGCAATTAGTTCAGCACCTCAAATTCCTTCTTATTTGACCCTGGTGTTAACTGCATTGCTTTGCACCTGTGTGTGCCCCTTTCTTTGCATTAAATTCTAATATCTCCTGGAAAATTAAAATTAGTATTCTTTATCTGAAATGGAATATAGAATATGCCAGACTTTGAGAGAAAGCTTAATTATATTCTAAACTTATTCTAAGTGTTTATGTGGATGTGTGGATGTGTGTGTTTGTGACTGAGAGACTAAATAAATAAGGAGTATGATTCACTATTACAGCATTGGCAGAAGGTACACATGCTTTTGCATTGAACTAAAATAAGGAGTTAATATTCTTATACTGTCTAAAGTTGGTTAGCTTCTGGAACTTCTCCCTATAGATTTTAGCAATTTATCTGGCTTGCTAAGTTAAATTATGTCCAGCTGGTCTAGCATTATTGGGGTCTAGGCAGAAATGATGACACATGTGCAAAACATTACAACACAAACCTTGCCTTTTTGCATTTGTATTCTGATACTGATAAATATATAAATCATGGTGTTTATAGTATATTGCACATTTTGCCACATTGCTCTCCTCCATAAATGCTTATGTCCAGTATTCTTGTTTACAAAAGTATTTACAAAACTTTTGATAAAAATATAGTAAATATAGTAAGATTTTTAAAAGCCCAATTTGATAAAAGGAGTGTCCATTAAAGTCAAATTTTCATTAAATTATAATCTCTATAAGTGTATATGTGTATGTGTGTATGGTAAATTATATAATTTGGGGTAATATATCATTTTGAGGATAAATTATGTAGAACTGATAAATTATATCAGTTACATAAAATGTACACATTCATGTTTTGTCCATTGTATTCAAAATATGCTGAAAGTATATCAATAAAATCAAAGTCTTACTGTAGTGCTTTATGTTATATTGTTTCTACCTAATATGTATTAACATGCTTTTCTTAATTATAGACAATTTTATTAGTATAACCAGCTAATAGTCAAAGATTGATACATCCTCTCTGAATTTGTCCAGTCCTTCATCTTTTAGTAGTTATCCTAGCATCTTGTCTTCAGGATATTCATTGTTTTATTTTCCTGTAGCCAGTTTTATTGGATAATGTCATGGATTAATGTTCAATTAGTTTTCTTAACTGCTTTAGCAATGTTCACAATATTGTAATGTTCTATAGCTTATCCTTTTCCTAAGTCAATAAGCCTCAGTTTCTGCTGTCTTCCTTTTAAAGATGATTTATGCCACACACAGATAGACTTATATTTTATTGAGAACTATCATACTATTCTTAAGGTGGGTATACATTCTCATTCACTTTGTACAGTCCAAAAAAATGTACTTTGGGCCAGTTACCTCTCTCATATTAACCCACCTCATAGGGTTGTTGATGTGGGGAAAAGAAGAGAAAGAAGGAATTTTAGCTAAGTTTTGCTTTGAATTATTCATAAAAATATTGATAAAAATAATAAAGGCAGGATAAAAATGACATTTCTAATAGTGAGAAAGGAAGATGTTCTCTGGACACCTACAATAATATTATCTATAGTCTATCAGGTAACCCAACACAACTTCTCTGTGACTCAGGCAAATGGAAGCATATGCTGCTGTACAGATTATTCCAATAAAGAGTACTTTATTGTATTATGCTCTTGCTTACTGCATAAAGAGTCAAGCAGCATGGGGTTCCTACTAACAAAGAATCAATTTGTTTGGCTCCATTGCCTGGATGGAGAACTATCCAAAATCTATTTCCCACACCTGGAACTTTAGTTACCACAAAAGCCTATATCTATATGCTTTCCTGGACATATATACATACAGTTAACATTCCTATCTTTACAGTTTTTTCTGACACTCCTACTTGTACAGCATAGGACAAAAATGCTAAATAAACTTAACATGATTCACGCATCATGCTAAGAGAGTTGTACACAATAACATATGAAGGAAAGCTAACATACTTGAGATTTCATCAGAGATTGCCATGGCTGTTAAGATACATCACAATGTTGACGATTATGAGTTTTTTCTTCTTTTTCGTGTAGGAATGTTGAGGATCATGAACTTTTCTTTTAATGAATGCTATATCTATCAACTTTGTAACATGACTACAGAATTTCACTCTGTCCATGACTACAAAATTCTATGAATCCTTTATCAGGTTTATTTATCACTAGAATATTGGCACTAGATTATTGGCATTGCTCACTATATTGGTGGCAGTGGACACAAAGACATATTGATGAACTCCATGCAGTTAGCTTTGAGATCTTTTCAGTGTTGAAGTAAAATAGGAATTGTAAACATAACCTGTGGAAAAGGAAGGTAAAGGTTTTGGAAGATGGTATCAAACATTGGAGAAAGAATATTGTATTTCATTAGGAATAAATATTCTCTGCTCACATGAAGCCCTATAATTGCACATTCAATTTTGTATAAGAGATGCTGGCAACTTGTAGTTGGCGCTACCAAACTGTTCCCATGGCACAGTGCCAGTTCCTTGCCATCTGTGGTTAGAGGTTAATGATCAGCCTACTGTACACAGCGAGAAAGGTCATTAAACAGCAGGAAGACAAGCTAGGCAAAACAAAGGGACTTGGTTTACTTGTACTTGCCTAGAAATAATATTTATCTGACAGAGAAGAATTGTTTGTAGAGAATAACTGTGGGGAAAGAGAATTTGAGAAGGTGGTCATGGTGCTAAGTGCAGAAGTGGCTGTTATGTTTAGCGACTATAACCATCCATCTACTTGGCTACATCATCAATTGCACAAGAAAATGGAATCTTGATAGACAGGAAGGCATGACAGGAAAGTATTATGAGTGTCAGACAGAACAAGCATTCACCACCATGGGGTACTTAAAAATTCACAACTTGACAACCTCTGGAATGACCTTCGGTTGGAGGTCCTTCTCTCTCCAACACTGTCTACATTCCAGAAAATGATGAAGATGAAGCTTTTCCGGAGGGCTTTTGGAACCTGATGTCATGTATTTTGTTTGGATGTTATCTATTTTAGTCTTACGTTTTTATATTTAAAAACGTAAGACTATTTTTGTATCTTGTTAGCTACCAAGTATCCTGTGATGGTTACAGTAGTGAAATGTGATTAATAAAATAAACATACTTATTTTCTGGGAGTGCTGCTATGGCTGCAACAATTGCATAGGCAGAAGTTGGAGAGTTGACATATTTCCTGTCCTGCAGGGTCAATGATAAGACAAGTCTTACTTATTGAATTTGGTTAACACAGTTTCTTAAGCACAACATTCCTAACAGGAAAAAAAATTCATAGCAGCATTTTACACAGAATGATTATGAGATATCACTGTTCCTTAGGGCTGACAAATAAAGCAGAAGAGTGAGAAGCAGCTGCATTCCTATTTGTTTCATTTATGCATTTGGTTGCTAGAAATAGAATACTTTACATACCTTCTGTGAAAGAGCATAATTAAACATTAAACATTCTCTATTAGGAAACAGAGACAAGTTATAAATACGCTCATCGGAATACAAGATCCAATTAATGAGGATGAGGGAAGAAACATCAGAATGTGATTTTTTTGTTGTTGTTGTTGCCTACCCTAATAAAGGCCTTGTGTCTTGAATAATGAATTCAGGACAGTAATCTTAACAGTTGTGCTTCTTATTACTGGGCTTCTATGAGTTCACTTCCCTGTAGATTTTTGCTACCTTTTGACTTTGGTAGGATACAGTGACCAAATTCATAGACATATTGGGGAGTGTGAATCCCAGTGTGAATTCCCCCCCCCCCATGATAGGTATTTATCTGCTTGAATGGTATCTGTCAATGTTATGTATAAGCTTTGAAAAGAAAAGGTTGAAGATGAATATAACTTCTTACAGGATCTTTGTTAGCTGGGCACAAGAACAACTAACCCAAGATCATACACTTAAGTTCTAGACTCCTTAGATCTTGGCTATAAGAGAGAACATAATGTCTTTGGAACTTCCAAGTAACACTGTATTATTGGCCCATTTTTATTTAATTCTGAATTTTATGTAGTATTTAATTTAGGGTTTTAATAGGGGAGTTATTAACATTTTGGGAAATAACATAACTTACATAATTATTCATTCCCA